ACGCACGCACGCACGCACGCACGCACGCACGCACGCACGCACTCACTCACTCACTCACTCACTCACTCACTCTCTCACTCACTCACTCACTCACTCACTCACTCACTCACTCACACTCACTCACTCACTCACTCACTCACTCACTCACTCTTCACCATCGCCGCGCTAAGCTCGATCCGGGGACAGGTCAACATTTTCCACTACAATGCAGCCTTGGCTGCCTGTGGCATCTGGGTAAGAATTCAGATCTTGATGCTTTGCGGCTTCTCGAGATACGACGATCTTGCAACCTAGGGCGAGCAGATCAACTGTCTGTCGCAGTGGCCTACTCGCAGGCCATCCCGTGAGAAGAGCTTAGGCGAGCAGTTGGGTGCATGTTGGAAGAGATGAATGACTTGAAGCTTTTGCCAGAACATCTTCGGTTCTTGCTGCCGCAGGAGATGCGAGACGGTAGAGTCGCTTTGGACGTCCGCAACCGAGACACTTGCAGAAGTGAATGAGGCAGATCAGAGGCAGTCGGGTTGGGCTTGATTCTGTTGCTGGCACATATTCGTTTTGATTGGGACATTGGCTGCTGAGGCCTACAGCTACGGCAGCTTGATGCGCGCAGCCGCGGGCAAGGGCGACGGGGCAACAGCTCTGGCCCTTCTGGAAGAGATGCAGACAGAAGGCCCGGATGAAGAATGAGGCGATGACATTGTCACCGAGGTGATGCTTTGAGGGCGGTTGCGGTGGTGACGGTGATGGTGTGATATCGCGAGTGAATGCGTGGCATTATAGTGATGCGGGTGTCAGCAGCTGCTCGGGTTGTCTGAAAGTGCGTTTTCTGAGAGCTTCACATCAGCTCTGGTGATGTTCGTGACACATGTGCGCGTGGGCTCCACTTCGTGCACCTTAGGAGTTAGAAGTCGGTGCAATCTTGCAGGCATTGCTGCCAATGCAGTGGTCTGCAGCTGCTTGTCCTTGCAGCACCGGTTTGTACTACGCTTCCACGTGCACCGTGTACTGTGTGGCGTGCCGAACATAGGTGCTGCCGTTACAGCTCTGGTTCGCAGCGGCGACTGGCATCGAGCACTGGAGCTCTTTCAGGCCAGAGCAAAGGCCAAAGGCCATGGGCTTTCTACCCGGGCAGGTTCCCCCCAAGTGAGAAGCTTAGGCAACGCGGGAACGTGGTGAAGTGGTGGATGCAGCGCTGCTGACAGCCGCTCTGGCTGCCTGCCGCTGTGCTGGGAATGTGGTGATCACGAGACGTCAGGCGCTGGCATGCGCTTGCCTTGCCTGTCAGGTGGAGCTGGTGGGCGATGGGAGGAGGCGCAAAGGGTGCTTGTCTAGCTGCTGCAGACGCCTTTCACTATTGACATGATTAGAGCGGATCCGAACGATGGTTGTGAAAGAGCTGCGCTTTCAGGCACTGCAGCTTCTCAAAGATGTACCCGAGAAGTGGAAGCCCTGGAGCACTCGAGTTGAGCAAGCTGTGCGACATGTTTAACATGGTCCTTGACAGTCGAGGCAATGTGCGGACGTTCAAACCTGGAATGCTGCGATCGCAGCGTGCGCAAGCGCCGGCAGATGGGAAGAGGCATTGCTGTTCAGAGTGCGCCCTGGTGCGCTCTGGTCTCTCGCTCGCTCTTTCTCTCTCTCTCTCTCTTGCTGCACATCCTGCTGCACATGAATACAATGTGTCTGCATCTGTGTATGAGTGTGGGTTTAGGTATGGGTATGGAAATGGGAATGGGAATGGGAAGGAGTATCTCTTGGGCATGGGCACACATATTATCTTTGCAGGATGAAGCTGTGCTGGCAGCAGTTTGCACATTGAGTAGCTCAACAGAAGTGAAGGCAACATTAAGACGGCGGAGGAACGGCCTTCATACTGCCTGCGGTCCACTCCGACATCTCCTGTCCATGAAGCGCCCTCGTAAGCACTTGCCGTATCTAAGCAGGCATTAAGCCTTTGTCCAGTCGCCTGCCAGCCTCCTTGAACAAACACATCGTCTAGAATTGGTGGATTTGGGTGCAAGTGTACAGACACAGACCTATGCTGCAAGTCTTGACAGTCAGATATGCCCGCTAGCTTGACGGCACATATGAAGAGCCCCTCGTGCCGAGACAACTGGGCAAGCGCACAGCAGGCATTGTGGCTTCTTGAGGAGGAGATGAACGCAGAGCAACTAGACTTGCAGTCAGCATGGCCCGTTCTGGACAGATGTCATGAGTCTGGACTGGCAAAGGCCTGATCTCTACAGCTATAACTCCGCAATAACGGCATGCGAAGATCGACACTGGGAGAGGGCGCTGCACCTGGTAATGTGTCCCTCGGCATGCTGGATGTGATGGGAGACTATAGATGTGCGAATCACTGATGTTATTGTCACGGTCAGATTTAGTGGCTGAGCCGGCTCGAATTCCAGTGATTTCCGAACTGGACTTCAGGCCGCATGGGGGAGCGCCAGCTGCAGCCAGATTCTGTGAGCTTCACCGCGGCCATTTGCACAGCTCGGGAGGCCGTTTGTCTCCCGTGATCTGCAAGCTCTGTGGCCCAAAAGCGCCCTGCTGATAGGAGCATGACATCGCGCTCAGCCTGTTGCACGAGATGTTCGTCTGGGGCTTGGGGGACGCGGTGTGCTTGCACTGCTTGCTTTCTTGTGACTAAGATCCGGGGGGTGCCTCGTACCGCTCGGACCTATGCGGCGCTCATTGCCACGGCGGGACAGCACTGGGCGCAGGCGCGAGAGGGAGCGGAGAGACGATGAGAGAGACGGAGAGATGCAGTGTGGGTGTTTCGGGTCACTTTGTTTCTGTAAGTTTTGGTTCAGAGGCGTTGGCACTGCCAGGAACTCAGTTTTTCGTTCCCCACTTTCAACTGGGAGTGCTTTGTTTGCGGCTCTGGCTCGAAGGTTCAAGTACTCCAATCAGGAGGCCGGGGCAGGGCCGTTGTGTCCGTGCGCTGAGCGTGGAAGCATGTTGTGTTTTGCGCACACGCAACCGTGCCTTGTCCGCAGGGCATTGAAGCCACGACGCAACTCTGTGGCATCCTGGCTGCATGGGAGATGGATGCGATTCGTTCCAATTCAGGCGAAGTTCGCTTGTTGAAGAAACTTGTTGACATGATCGATACGGGAAGCATAAGGCATGCTCGTGCTGGTATGCTGAAGTTAATGCAGCTATACCGCATTTCGCCAGGCTCCACCTTGCGAGCGTGCGCGGCCGGGCGCCAGTGGGCTTTGGCTGTAGGCCTCCTGGAAGAGATGCAAGGACTCGTTGACTCCTTGGCTGGCTTGTAAACTGTGTTGCTTTTCTGCACAAGTAAGAAGCCGTTCTAGGACAAAACGTGGCAGTCAACAACGAAGCCTGCCATGCTGCCATCAGTTCTTGCTTCTGGGAGAACATACGGGGGTCTGTGTGTGCTCTGGCATCAACGGCCCAAAAGCTTCGCCTCCTAGGCATCGTTGCGTGGAACAATGAGGACCCGGGACACTGGCGTGAGGTGCCTTTGTCCCAAAGCCTTATGAGAGTTTGGTGGGGCTCTGTCTTGCGGCTCGTGCAAAGGCCCTGGCCATGGCCGGGGCGCTGCGCCGTGAAGCACTGCAGCCAGATACCGCAACATGGCCTTAAGGTAGCTGTGCCACTCCTGTCCCAGTGCTGTGACTGGCATGACTTAAGCAACCGATGAGCTGATGAGCTGCACAAGCCTGGCAACCTCTGCAGGAACCGTTGGTAAGCATCAGTACCTCAGTTGTAGTAACTTTGGGGCTTACACACAAGGTGCTGTTGTTTGGAGACTGATCATCTTCTGCCCGAGGCCACATATGTGGCTCTGATATCTGCTTGCTCCAGCTGCAGCAGGCATCGATTCTGCACATTGCTGGGCAGAACAAGCAGAGGTTTGAAGGAAGTAGCAGCTAGCTCTGATGTCGAACTGGAGGTGGCAAGAAGCGCTGGCCATCCACACCGAAGCGCACCTAGAAGCCACGTCGGAGGCGCTTCTCCCCTTTAGATTCTTTAGATGTCCATAGCTCTGCCATGTTGCTCGGTGACGAGCTGATTGATGGATGGATGATGATGGATGGATAGAGTCAATGAGTGAGAGAAAGATTGAGTTAGTAAGTCAGTTGGTGTGGACCTTGTGCTCAACACACTGGAGCAGGACTCTGTAACTTGAATGGCATTCCACTTTTCACGGTCGGGGTTGCTGACCCACGCACACCTACGCCACAGTTACTACTCATTTTTTGCTTGGATTGACTAATCCCTTCGTTGCTGCCGTTGGAGCAAGTGGTATGACTTGACGATACTTGTCAATCTGTAGTTCCGCATTTGGCTTGCGATCGCGGTCAAGCTGGCGGAGGTCAGCACGCTCCTTCGCGTGCAGCTCCCGGTCCATCTTCGGAGAACTTCTCGCAACGCAGGAGCATCCGAACAAAAACACTAGGGTCACTAGGGCACCAGAACTCGACAGCAGCCACCACTATGGCAGACGACGCTGGCCGACCCAAAGGTCAGGCAGGACACACCGGGCCCTGCCGTGGAGCCGGAGTTTTGACGAAGATTTGCCGCACAAGCACTGCTGTCAAATGGCACCCAACGACACGGAAGCCCTCCTGCTCCCTGCACCCTTGCTTCTTGCATCTTGCTGTCATCCCTCCACCCTTGTCGCCATCGCCGTTGCGACCAACTGCGCGTACGATGTCGATTGCTGCTAAATAACAGTGCAGATGGAATGCAGAGCTCCCCACTGGAGCCACTGCAGTGGTTTATCATAGTGTTGGTGCAGCATCGGGACCCATCAATGCCGATGATAATTCCAGGTTTGCCGCAGTAGTTGGGTTGAGGAAACGAACTTCCTGGCTTGCTATTCGTGAAGTCTATCACGATGTAGTGGAGTGGCTAACGCGATTGGTTATCGTGCCTCTTGATGAGCTTGCTACCTGTGTCGACCATTTGCTGGTTCTTGTGCAGCGACCTTCTCCTGCAAACGTCCAACAGGCGGTCCTGGTCACATTCTGTGCATGACATGCAAGTTTCTTAACAAAAGTTGCATTTGCAACGGCATGCTGTTTATTGTTCCGCGCTTCGCAGCAACAGTTTTCTGCAGCAAGTAGTCCATGGAGTAGCTGCTCCACCTCGGCATTGATGTAGTCCATTGGAGTACTGAAGTGCGGAACAGTGCTACAAACAGTGTGGAATGATTCTTTCGGGCGTCATGATGCTACCTGACATCATTGTGCTACTGGTACGCCGACAGCGGATGAGTAATCTTGTGTTGACTCAGCTCAAACGCCTCCTTCCAATCCTATCTGCCGCCCTCAATTTCACTTGCCCGCAGAGTTAACAAATTAGGTTTCGACATGAATATAGACACGGCGTCTATCTCATATGCCATTGAGCCCCACAATGGGTGGTCGAATGGCCCCAGCAGCGCATGCAATCAACACGTTTTGCTCACACTGGAGTGGAGCCATTGTGTGACATGCTTTGCAAGCTAAAAGCGACGATCTTGCCTGAGCAGGCACTTGGGCAACTAAGATCAACAAGCGAGTCCGGCTCCGGCTACAGAGCCTACAGGTGGTACTGGATTTCATCCGACGTGAGGTTCTCGCAGAAACTTTAAAGTCACAATGTTCAAACTGTGGCGCAGCATGTCAGTTATAGGTCCAGACACCAAACAACCAGACTTCTCAAGATCAATACTTGCATGACGATGACGACTGCAGATCGGGTGCCACCAGTCCTACCAGGTCCTACCAGTTGTCGCAAAGGTATTTTATGCTGTCGCCTACAGCTTTCATGCTTCGTGGATTTTCCATCCGAGCATCCGCAAGCCTCATCTGCGCCCTGGCATTAAGCAATATGCAGCACACACTATACAGACTTCCAGAAAATGACATCCTCAAAGTGGATGCGATGCTCGGAATTTTTCCCGTCGCTTCTTCGCAACATGACGAGCCGCCGATACGCAACCAGCTGGACGTCGAGCGTCTGCAAGCAATACCCCAATGAAGGTCACTCCTACCTTGCATCAAACCTCCAACATCGAGTCGTTTTCGACAGTCTCACTGTAGGCGTGCAGTGGCCTTCAAACACATCTGTCCATCGAAGCTGTGCGTGAAAGTGGAAGTTCGGTTGGCAGAATAGCTAAATCACATTGGAAAAGCTGGAGCTGGCAGGGTCAGTTGTTTACAAAGTGGACTGTTGTGTCAATCTAACAAGCCAGCAAGTCAACATGTGGCAAGGGCTTTGTAGTATCGAGCAAGGATGCAATCACCTTTTGACAAGCTTGCAAGTGTGTGGGTGGCCGTGGCCGGTGGGGGGTGCCTGGATGGGTAACGATGGTATGTGGGTGCGATGGGAGGTGTAGCCTAAGAAGCTTGCTGCCACGTTGTTGCAGGTTTCGTCTTATTTTACTCGCACAGCGAGGGCCAGCCTGACAGCCGCAGTGAGGATTTTCGCAACGGGGTATCGAGGGTTCGTGTCAGGTCCAGACTATGTGCACCAATGCTCTGATCACTGCTTTCGGGCGTGGTACAGAATGGAGGAGTGCGTTGGAGGCCAGGGGACATAGAGACATAGAGAATGTCTGTGCTGCGAGTCCCCGTTTCCTGCCTCTGAGAGTTGGCGTTGATCTAAAAAAACATGTAAGCAGGCATAGACAAATTCAACAGGGGATCAACAAATCAAACTCTGAAATGCTATAAATACAGTATCTGCCGCCCGTAAACACTCACAAACTAGTCTTTCTGACTCAAAGAAAAGAAGGAAGGAAGGGGGCGGCATGTTTGAGAAATAGAACGAGCCGTCATTGCCAAATGAGGGGGGCGTGTTTAAGATACATGATGAACCGGAATGGCCAAATGAGGGCGCGTGTCTAGGATACATGATTCTGAATTTCCCTGTGTTTTGTATTGTAGTTTAAGAAGCCGTGTTGACCTCCGTAGATGAAGCTAGTTTGTATGGCGTTTGCAATCGACGTATTCACCGCAGGCGCCTTGAGTCTTGTTGCAAAAATAGCGTGAGTTTTCCGCGTTGAAACTGCGGACGCCGACATTCGTTCCAAATTGGTAGTGGAGCGGTCGGATTACAGCGCTAGAGTTTCACCCAGAGTCCTAGAAATAGAGTAGAGCCCCTAGATCTCCAGGGTAGCTTGGGTTTGAGCCTGCCTGAAGTTTCAGGCCGCCCAGTGGGGACACAATGCCACACCTGCAGAGACAAAGTCGGGATCGTTTATCTATACAGGTGCCGCATCAGCCCTATCACGACTGGGAGTTTCCAACACGGATATGCGTGTTGCAGCACAAGAAAAAGCAGAGGCGAGAGGTTTTGAAGGATATGCGTGGGCGCAGCATTTGCTAGGAGCCAGTCGCCGAGGAAGTGGACAAGCAACGGACTTCAAGGCTTCCGGCTTAGGTCAGAGCAGAATGCTGCAGGTACCAGCCACCCCACTGAGGGTGAGTCAAGCGGCATACCCGCTAGCCCGTCTAGAGCCAGCGAGTGCCTCGTGCGCCAACAGACGATGAGGATGACGGGGACGAGTCGATATCGAGTCATCTTATAGGCAGAAGAACCTTTGCCCCCCTCCGCCAACCCCCCCCCGGAAAGCAAATGTAGAATAAAGGGCCAGGCGGGAAAACAAACCCTAAGGATTCATAGTGTCGATTAAGGATGAATAGTGTATATTTGTTTCGGGACTGGGGCAACGAAAATAAGGACGAGATAAACCGTATATAGTGTGTGTGTGTGTGTGATGTTCAGCCATTTCGTGTATATTTCCGGCGGCAGTCGACCATGATGCAAATCGATTGGAACTTGTGTGTATGTGTGTGTTCGTGTGTGTGGCCCGAGCGAGAAAAGAGTCATGCAATGACATCATGACGGTGCTGTTACTCCTATCTATGATTGTACATTTTTATTATTGGAATAAGCTATTGACGTTAAATTCTAGTTGTCATCACCAGGACAGGCATGCGCTGAGTTGAGTTGGGTATTGAAGCTTCTACGCTGGCAGTATGTACATTGTCAGCTTTCGCTGTTTTTTCGCGTCCACTCACAGAGGGCGGGTACTGTTATTAGCAATAGCCACCTGCCAACGTGCAAGATATCTCCGGATTTGCTTTGACTCTGGTTTTGTCTCACAGGAAGCTTAGACGGAGATTGCATATGGCCGCACGAAAAAAAGGACAGGCATGCCGATTCCTGACACCATGGCGGCGTAAGTTCGTTTACGGTTCTGCTTCCAGGAGATCCGGCAATCTCGGCTATTTCTGCCGAGGGGGTTGGGCTGCCGAGACAGTGGGTGATCTGCTCTTCGCGAGCAGCCTATGCACTTCACCCTGCCCCACGGCCGTATACATAGAAGGAAACGGGAAACGCCATGGTAGTATCGCGGGCTGGCTCAGTAGACTGTTCTACAGCCATATAGTGACGGGCGTTAAAAGCTATCTTCCTCGCCAATGTCGGCGTGTTGTCGATGTTGTCTGCTGGCTCTACGTCTCGCGTGTGCCTAGCGTATGGCATGTCATCTCGGCCACCGACGGTGGCAGCCTTCTTGGCCGAAGGCTCATCCGTGTGAGCAGGTGCGGCTGCATCACTGTTCATGGAAACAGGGGGAGATGGGATTTTGAAGCTATTGGCTGCCTATCCATGCATAGCCCCTCCACCAAATTTATGCAAAGAAGCCCACTGTCATGGGTGTTACACATCCGAATGGGAATTTGTGTATCATTGGAGGGCATCCGAATGTGTTCGTTCCCAAGTCCTTACAGATTCCTAGTTGTGCTTGGGCATACGGCGACAACAGCAATGGGGCGGTGCTCTTGATTTCGTGAGAATGTAGAACACCTGGGACTCGAGCCTCACCGTCTGTTCCCTTTTTAGAGAATGGGATCGTTCGGATCCTGGGGTCTCCGTAGCGCCGCTAAGCCCTTTGAAAGTGCGGGATCCCTCGGGGGAGAGTCTCGTGCTGAAGCCTATCTTGGCGAGCTTTTGGGTTGCGTTGTGATTAGTCCGCTCGGTGCCGTGCACCGTCGAATTGCAACCTTCATCAAAACCTACATAAACTGCATAAATTCTAAATATCTACTACGGGCAAAGCAGCCAAAGCGAGGTGTGTGTCGGTAACCCCGTTCGACATAAGAGCCACAAAGCGCTGCCTCGACGATCGTGACCTTGCTGCGGAGGAAGCCACCTCCCAGCTGTGGTTGGCAGAGCTTTGGTCATGATCCTTCAAGGCATCTCGATATAGAGGCCTTGGTCACGAAGTGACCTTCGACGGTTTCGCGAAACTGCTCGAGAGCTGGAACCACTACCTCTATGGGCAGGTCTTCACGAGTTCAGCTCACTATGGAGCGAAGTAGATCAACATGCATTGTATTCGCTTCCTTCACCGCTGATGCTATGTCAGAACGGGCCTTTCTTTCATCCTGAAGTTGTTCGTCCAATAGCATCTTACCAAAGTTTGCACTTCAACCTACTGGCCTACTCGTCTTCCTACTAGACCCAGTCCGCTCGGTGGCAGTACGCAGGCAAGTGGCAGGATCAAATACCGGCTTCTCTTTCTTGGTCTTGGCAACCGTACCGCACTTCTTGCATGTGCGCATGCCGATGTACGCATTACTGCCAGAGTTGCTAAGCTCCTTACAACCACCCCGGCATGGCGCTCTCGCACCAGACGATGCTAGGCTGTTCGGGTTCAGGCATTGGCCTGTGACTGAGGGGATGTTCCCTACGAGTAACCTCCGTCGGGTCCGAATCGTCAACAACGAAATATTCTTGAACCCAGTTCAAAAAGTCTCCGGGGGCCTTAGACGGGCACTTCTCTTTCTGGCGCCTTCAAACATACCCCGGGTAAGTATACAATACCCGCTCAGAACCCCTTGTGTTGGCCGCTAAATATCGTCTGACTCCCAGGAGGGCACTATCACGCATTACAGCGGATGCTGCGGACTTGCGAAGTTGCGGGGACATAGCTCCTCTACCTTTGCCCGAGCTAGAGGCGTCCTTAGTCCGTCGCCGGCCGGCGATGACTTCAGGGCGAGGAAACCTTGCGATTCCGAATAGGAATTGGAAGGTGAATAATCTCATCATCGGAGTCATCTCGGGCCAATAAACTATAAACCCCTGGCGCTTGGGGTTAGGGGGTTTTGGTCGATGCCGAGGTCGCTGTGGCGTTGGTGCAGGAGCTGATGTTTTAGGGGCTGGTCCTTAAATCTGCATTCCACGTCTCCCCCAATGGCCTACTGCATCGCTGCGCAGGCATCGGCTGCGAGCCTTGAGCTCGGCAAGCTTCGCCTTTCTGTCCGTTATGCTAAGGTCGGACTTGAGGACTGTCCCACCTGTCTTCCCTTTGTCCTTACCCTTGCCTTTGCTCTTGCCTTTTGCCTGATTGAGCGTGTTCGTGGCTGCGTAAGCCAGCTGAACCGCTTCTGCGTGTTCTTCTCCAAGGGTATCTTCCTCAAGTTCCGAGGAGATGGCGGCGTAAGCATTAAGCTGCGTCGCTTCATCTTCGCCTTTGATCCAAGCGTCGCCTTCATCAGCTAATCTATAGCAGCGTCGGCATCGTGTTCGTCTTCTGGTGGTACACCTTGCTCAACATCGGCGTCCTCTTCGCCGTATAGCCGGATTATAGTCGTAGACAACGACACCGGTGCAGCACAGAACTGGAAAGAATTTTTCAAACCCTATGTGCTTACGATTGTTGTGCTCACTGAAGCACTGTATTTTCTCTTTCCTGTTTCACTTCGACCGACCCAGACTTCGGTCTGCAAAGCAGAGGAGTTGGAGACGGGAGTCTTGTCCACCACTTTCTCCGTCTGCTGCTTCGAGGGGTCAATGCGTTGGGTGCCATGGCCCCCTTCACCGCCCTGAGCAAGAAAGCAACAGCTCCGCAGGTCTTGAAAGGGAGAGCGCTTAGGAAGTGGGAGGCGTGCGTCGGTGCAGTTTCGCTAGGGGACTTCCGCTCGCGGATGAGAAAAACTCACCCGTTTGAAACTTGGGCGGGGAGCTTGTTGGTTTTCTCCCCCCCCCCCCGAAAGTGTTTCACCAGGTAGCTGAGGGGCAACCACGGCGCTGATCCTGACTGCTGGCTTGGTCGAGCAAAAGATCGCCGTTCCCTCGAGTCCGACGGACCGTCGTAGTGAGTCGCGACCATGCATGCACGCGCGGCGAGCGCTACATTAGCTTTGTGCTTCCCGCCCCTGCCTTCTCCGCACCACGGTAGACAACCGCGGGTGAGCAAAATTTCCCCTTTCTTTTAGGCTGGGAGCTCGCCGGCCCTCGGGGCCCCCCAGCGTTTCACCAGTTAGCTGTGGGGTAACCATAGCACGCTGATCCTGACCGCTGCCTCGGTCGATATAGAGGACATAACGGGATTGCGGTTCCCTGCAGTCCAAAGATCTATGATGAACAGGANNAAGATGTGTGATGAACCGGAATCGCCAAATGAGGGGGCGTGTTTAAGATATATGAAAACCGGAATGGCCAAATGAGGGGGCGTGTTTAAGATATATATATATATATATGTTGCATCGGCAGCAGCATGGCCAAACGACGGGGCGTGTTTAAGATATATGATGAACCGGAATGTGGGGGCCTGTTTAAGATGTGATGAACCGGAATCGCCAAACCAGGAGGCGTGTTAAAGGCATATGATGAACCGGCATTGCCATTATGGATGCCACATACTGCAACTGCCAGTACTGCCACCCCAAGCAGCCTGCCCCTGGCACTGCGTTTCCCCGTTTGATCTTTTTGATCCCTGCTTGATGTTGTCATCCGAAAAATGGTAATTAGATTTTTTGGTCTTTCTTTGACTTGTTTTGGATCCTTCAGCATGTGGGACGGAGTAAGGGCATGGTCGTTGCAGGCTTTCGAGGCTGCAACCCTGCGCGAGAGGTGCTGTTGACTGTCATTCCGTGTTGCGAGTCGCGTTTCTTGTGTTTTTCAATCTATCGCAGGCCGACGGTTGTCACGTGCAACGCTCTCATCTCTGCCTTTGCAGAGGGCTCTCAATGGCCCATGGCGCTGCAGGCATCGCAGCTCTTGCCCAAAGCCACATCGGTCTTGAGAACATGCACACAGGTGCTTCGCAGCTTGCCCGAGCGATCTTTAACACCCACCGTGGGGAGCCTACGGGAGCCCAAAACAGAGGATATAGCTTTGGAAGCTTTACTTTAGCTTTCGCCCACAGACTCCAAGGTCGTCACCATGAATGCGGCCCTTCATGCCCTCGCTGGAGGCAGTCACTACGCAGCCGCCCGAACGCTGCTAGGACTGGGCGCGGACACTTCAGATCTCGCTGCGCTTCGTCTTGCCGCCTTGCGGTCGCCATCGACGATGCCTCTTTATGCCTCTTTGCAGGACGAATGCCGGCATGTCAACTCCAGCCAGACTGTTGGAGCTTCACCGCCGTGATGACTGCCTGTACCAAAGCGACATGTGGCATAGCAGCAGGACTTGTACGAACGAAGAGGGTTTCAACTGCTTTTCCTCGTCAGCTCCGTTTTTTTGCATATGGTGCTATTCCGAGGTTGGGAGGCAACTTGCGGCTTGTCCACAATTTGTGATTCAGCCAGAGCAAGCTGGATAGTCTATGTGTGACTGTCAGACCCAGTCTCGAAATAAGTCGAGGTGAGCTGCTGACGGAGATGATGAGGAAACAGATTAACCCAGGTGCAGCTCGCAATGTTCTTTCTGTCCGGGGCTCTCAAACGGAACAGTTGCCAGATATCTACAGCATCAACAACATGATGTCAGCGTTGGCTGCCTCGCCGAGATGGGAGGAGGATCGATACAACAGTTTCTGACAACGAGATGAGCACATGTCCCACTCTGTGCAGACGTGCCTGCAAGTTCAGGCATTGGTCCTACTCAAAAATATGCCGCGACTAGAGCTGGCATCTTGCTTGCGGTTTATGGCGGTATGTTGTTTCCTGCGATGGCTGCTGTCAGATATGCCTCCATTCACCTCGAGGCTCCAGATGTGCTGAGCTACGGTGCCGTTTTGGCGGCACGCATGCAGGCAGCTTGCTCTTCTAGTTTGGCAAGATACCATGCTGAGATCTTTTGTTTCGGAGCACACGTTCAGGTCCGGTCTCTTTCGGGTCAACTCTGAATTCAGCTGCTTGATTCGACTCGGACATACGGACAGGACGAGTACTAGCAACACTTCTGCTACTACTTGGTTCTGAACTAGCGCAAGAGCTGACCAGTTGGAAATCCCACCACATTCTGGAAACCCGCAAGATCAGAAAGTTGAGCCTTAGGCCCTGGGCCTGAAGCAGAGCGGGATGCCGTTGAATAAGGAACTACACCCTTGGAAGGCCGTTGTAGCCGGTAGGGCTAAGGGGCTCCGCAGGTTGCTCGCGTGACGAAGGCTTGCTCTTGAAATCTGTTGGGCGCCAGGCTGCAGTCGGTGAGGCGAACCTGGCAGTGCTGCGAGGCGGCGGCTTGTCAACGGAAAGCAGTGCTGGAAGCAATCCTTGGGCAGTCCACGTCAGGGCAGGCATGATGCCGTGAAGTGATGAAGCTCTACAGCGCCCCCACGCTGCGTTTGTGTCGGGTGGGCTATTGTTGTGGTGTAGCATATGTGTCCCAAGCCCAGCCGCAGGTTACTTCGGCATAAAGCCTCAGCCGTGCAGCATATCGGAGAAAGCATCTGAGGTGCCGTAGCTCCAGAGAAACTTTGTGGTCAAGCGGTTAAGGCCGCAGACAAGGACTCCATGCACGTGCTACGACTGCTACGAACGAGGCACCAGCAGCCAGGTCAGAGGTGCTGACAAGCACCAGCGCGCGAGGCTTTAAGAAAAGCTTGAGCGTCAGCTTGCAAATCAGAATGCATTGAAAATTGAGCTGTCTGTTCGTTGTTCGTGAGCTTACGTCAATTTCCTCACCACAAGACCGCAAGGCCCCTGGGCTCGCACCCGGAAAGCGTGACGAGGAGGAACCAGCAGATTGGTGCATTAACGCTGAGCGGTGCTGGCAGTGCTGGTTCTTTCTTGGATGCTCGCCAGATCTGCCTCCCAGACACACCAGCAGATGCTTACCGCGAGCCAGGCACCCAGCCTCCGGCTCTTTGCATGTGCCAAGCTGGGGACAGTGTCCCAAGGTCCGAGGCCATCTCGCGACCTTCGCGAGGGATCTTGGAGGCAAGCCCACCACTTCTCTGCCAAGCTATCCGCAGCTATCCACAATCCTCTTTCTGTGGTTGCCGGCATGCGATGAGGAATCCAACAGATTCAGCTTGCTTTTGGACCTCCGGCATGCAGTTCGCACAAGCCGGCCCGGCTCGAATCCCCAAGCATAAAAGATGCTGGTATCCGGTGTCCGTGTATCGACAGCTCGGAGACGTGAGACGTGATGCGACATGCAATGTGGTCGTGGGGCCGCACACCGCTGGAGTCCGGAAGAGGCTGCGCAAGAGACAGAGACTTCATGTAGAGCATAGTAGAAGCGAAACGTCTGCGACGTAGAGCCGGACACCGGCAAGCCAGTGAAGCATAGTGAAGCTGTCAAAGGCGCAACTCATGGCCCCATCCATGCACAACGGGAAACAACCTTCAGGGCGCTTTTTGTGCGCTTACGTTGCACGGGGGGCCGCTGACCCCAAACCGCGACTGCTGAAAGTTAAGGAGGCTGGCCGGAGCTGCCGAGAAATCGCCGACACCCGGACCCTCTCGTGGGACCGTACGTAGGATTTTGGGATGACAGGGGCGGTGGGAGGCGAGGGGTGAGCTGGGTTTCAGGCTGATTCCGAGCCCTTGGAAAGCCAGTTTCAGTTCCCTTGCCGGACACTCCCTCTCAAGGCTGCCGCTGGCCGTGCAGAAGCTGCGGGACCAGGAGCAAATGTCCGAACCGCCATAACCTCTCTGCATTTCTCTGCGCTACGCTATGGCCGCCGCTTTGGCTGCAGGACTGACTGCCGGCTCGACGGTTCGAGTGCAAGGTCTCACAGGCGACTCGGTCCCTGCCTCGGGCTGTCGGATTGTGCAAGTAGGGCAATGCCAATTAAGTGGGGCATTGGGTAGGCTCTTGCCTGTGCAGCAAGTGGATCATGGCGTCACGCTTGCTAACCCGACTGAGCATCATGTCGGCAGAACAGGATGTGCTGCCGGAGACGCTTCCCATTCACAGATGTTTGATCTTCTGTTCTTTCGTTTGACTTTCCTCGTGCCTGTTGAGCAATGTTGGATCATCCACGATTCTTCTTGGCGAGTGTTGTTTCGCTGAATAACAAAATTATAGAAAATCACAGTCAGATACTCCAATTCCGCCTAGATGAGACGGAGCCCAAGACTTTGCAGCCCTTGCTTGTTGAGGCCGCAAGGCTCAATGGCGAGAAAGGTGCCCGATGCCTACACGATGCACTGGTCCTCAGGTTTCACAAGCCACATGCTTTGAAGTCCAAGCGCTTTAAGGCTCTCGAAAGCTGGAATGCTTCAACCAATCGCTGGACGCATAGACCGCAAAGACAGCATGGTCACTTGCTGGCATGTCGGGGCAGGAACGTTCGACTTCGAAGTGGGGAAGTGAAGGCCATACGCCCCGAGAATCTGGAGGAGGCCCCCTGGCCCTTGGACAACTTCAGCGGTGGAGATGTGTTTTGGCAAATCAGCACTAGCTCAAATGGAGGGCAACTGTGTCGCCAGGTCGCTGGGGGCTATGGTTCACAGAAGGCTGGGCAAGACCGTGATGTACAAGATGTTGTGGCTGCTCGTTACGTTTGCGTTACGTTTGGAAGTGTGAAGCCGGCGACTTGCCTCAACACGCTCTTCATGTCGCTGACCGCTGCTCACACACGGAATGGAGAGCGAAGTAGATTTCTACAGCTTGCGACGCGCGAATGCTTGCCTACGTACCTGCCGGGGTTGTGTAGCTACAATAGTGTCACTGTCTATCGAACATTCGAGAGTCAACCGCGTGAAGCTGCATACAGTGGAGACAGAAAGGCCTCGTTGAGCTGTGTCGTTCTTTCCTTCATACATGACGACGCTTTTTTGCGCATCCTCGACCTTTGGGTTTCTGTCAGGCGCCAGCAAGCACGGCTGAGTCTCTTCAGGAGTTCGGCTGCTCCGCTTGCCTGCCCATGTTAAGAAGTTCGTGCAGCATGTGCAGCGAGCTGGTCGCAGCCTCCTTTCTGCAGGACGACCCGCCTTTGTTGGAGGCTTTCCTGATGCACGAACTTGAAAAAACCATGCACTTACGGCGCCGTTGTGAGTGGCAGATATGGAGCCGACACCGCGACGACTCGGAGCGAGCCAAGGCCATGAGCTGAAGAAAAGCCCACAGCCACCCGGGGCCCCCATCCCAGCCGTCTCGGCCCCAGGCAGCCAAGAAGCTTCTCGGGGGCATCGACGCGCGCGCTCCTTAGTTGCGTCCCGCAAGTCTTGCGTTTGCAAGTGAAGCTCAGGCCACTGCAGAAGCTGGACCTCACGGTCCCTCCCGAGCTTCTGGAGCAGGCAAAGCGGAGCCGTGCAGGCGGACATAGCCGGGGCGGTGCTTGCTGCGCGCTACTGGCATGTGTGTGCAGATGATGCTGCTGATGTCGATCCCGACTCACGTCTGCTGGCATCGGTCTGGGCCCAGAACCAGAGCTGAGCAGCTACTGCAGGCAGGACTGTCTCAGGTTCAAGATGAGCGGATAGCCTTGGACGACTTGGATTCCGACCTTCAGCCCTGACCTGACGCAGGGACGGAGGGAGGTGGTTTTCGTGCAGAAAGAAATGCTCAGGCTCCGAGCTACTGGCGTCACCACTCGGCGCCCTGTGTCAAGGTGGGGGGAGTCAAAGACAAAAAGCACCCCACAACTAGTCAGTTCTTGCGCTCCAGGCGGGACTGAGCCCCACCAGAACTCTCCACAGAGGCAGAATTTTTGTCACAGTGGTGTGGTGGACAGGCCGTGAGCTAGCAGATCTCAGTTCGAGAAGCCTTGTGAGGTGGATTCAAAGGAATCGTAGCGTGTCAATGCCTGAGCCTCCTGAGCCAAGCCGACGAGGCACAGCACAGCACACTCTGCTTCTAGTGAGAAACCGGCGAAGAGCGCCGGCAAGCAGTGCAACAAGAATCAATGGTGTGTGCAAGACAGCAGCTACCCTGCTGCTCAGTCCGTCGCAATACCAGTGCAGCAGAGCTTCGCCCTCTCCTGTTTTTGGCTCGCCTGTTGTAGCTTCACAGCTTGGCTAAGCAGTCATGTCTTCTTTGTGCTTACTCTTCAATGGGCACGACAGTGTTTTCCATGCATTGTTCAACCTATCAACCTTTCGCATAAGGCACATGGTGCATAGAACCACTCTAGAGATGCAAGATCATGCAAGTGCATTCACACGTCGCAGATGACAAATGTATGTGCTGCGGCGGCCGCAGTGCTTCACACTCCTGTACACTGCCTTGTGCAATGATAAACCCAGTAGCCCGCGTCATGGCTTCTTGCATTTCAGACTCGAACATGCACTGCAACCATCCCCACGTCGCATTGAAGCTGCTTAAGTCTGTCCCGCCAGCGGGGGATGCGCCGGCGCAGCCGCACGAGGAGCCCACTGAAGCTTCAGCCACGCCGACGGGACAGCCGACCGCCGCGCCCTTGCTGTTGCTCCAGGTCTGCTTTGCTTTTGTTATCGCTTTCCTTCAGCTGCCTCAGTCCGTTGCGGAGCCGTGGTGGTCGTGCCGAGAACGACCGTGCTGATCGGCGGCGAGCCGATGCCTCAAGCCGCAGGGTGCCCCGCCTTCCCCCGGAATGACGGCCCCGACGAGCTTTTGCGACGGATTCGCCTCTGCTGACCCGAGTCCAGAGAACGCCTTCAGCCTCACCGGCTCCAAGCTTGGATTCACTCGCAGATGCACCACTTTGTGCTCCGTAGTTCGAGGTCGAGCTCTCGATCCGTGGGCCGCAGGCAAACTGCTATCAGGCCAGCCACAGGGGCGGTGTCTTAAAAGAGGCCCGGACCAGAACGGGGACCCTCTTCAGCAAGCAGACGAGCCGCTGAGGAAATTATCCTCCCCCCACTCATGCAATGTCATGCCCAGGGGCAGGGCTGGACGATGCGTGCTGGGCGTTTGTTGCATCAGCATCGGACACGTGGTCTTGAACATTGGCATTGTTAGCCAGGACAAGGTCTGGATGCATCTCGGCGACACACTTTCGTACCCAATTCCTATCTGACAATCTCGACAGTTTGCATCACTAGGCACAGTTGAGAAATTGTGCCACACCTGGATGGGAGAATCACTAGCCTAGCAGTCCCGCAGAACCACAAGACACACGATCGATATGAGTCATGTGATTCCATGAACTGCAGCCGGTATCGCAGAATACAGAATAGCGATGTCAGCGGAAAGAGGCACGTAGAACTCGGAGTGAGCTTGTTGGATCAACGGCATCGATGCTTCGATGCCGTCCTTACTTGCTAACATTGCAGCAGCGATTGATACTGGTGTTGGAGCGGGAAATGCATCGGCCAAACACTGGCAAACATGGAGCGCTGGATTTGCTAAGTAGACCTCCTAGGCCCGCAGCATTCAGAGGGGTGTACGTTATTTCACCAGGGAAGCGCTTCCTCGACGTCGGCGGAATGATGAGGAGCGAATCCCGGAGCCAGCGCCGGAGAAGGAGACGGATGCAATTGCAGTGGTCGTTTTGTGTTGTGAAGATGGCAGCTGGTAGGGGCAAGTCCGGGGCAAGCTTGTTTTGAGGAGGCCCGCCCTCGGCGGAGCAAATGGGACGATCGAGGCTTGGGACCGTAAGAGTTCTCTTCGAGATGAGCTCCGACCCTGTGCAAGGAGACGGCAACTCCCCTTCAACCCAGACTCAGACGGGTTTACCGGACTGGCTGAAGGAGAAGACAATAAAGGACAAGTGCCTCCAGAGGCCATTGGTTGTGCCCTGAGGACTTGGAGGGCCCCCTGTCCGGGAAGCCAGTTCCGCACCCTGGCCTGCACCGTCGGAGGTGAACTCAGCCGCATGCCACGGTACTTTTTTCATGCTGCCAGCACGTGTGCCCATGTTTTCTGCATAGCTGAGGCAGATTGTGGTTCCAGGCCCAACGACGAGCAGGTGCAGAGAGCGAGAGCGGCACACCGTCCGAATTGCCACGCGGTTGCGCGATTGCTGCACCGATGTCAGGGCACAGCTTCCAAACTTGCTTGGGCAGAGGCTCGACGCTGCGTCACAAGTAAGAAGAGGTTCTGTCCGACTTTGGAATATGTTGTTGCGGCGCAGTACTCAATTGCCAGCAGCTGCTCCCTGCAGGCACAAAACAATGATGCTGAAGGCAGTGCAGATCAGAGTCCTTCTTGGCAGAGGAGGTGAAACAATCAAAAGCATTTGTTCTTGCCCCAGCAATAGAAAATAACGCAGAGTGGCGAAGAGCATTTGTGTTGCCGTGCACCGGCCAATCAGGCGAAAAGGCGAATGCAGAGATCAAAGTAGATCACGACCGCATTGCCGATGAAGGCGGTTGTTGCAGCCCAAAGAAGTGTCAGTTTGGCACTGGGGCCAAACCGCCCTGCCTCAAGGCGAAGTCACCATCGTCGGGGAGATCGAAAAAGCCGAAGTCCTCATCCGAGAAACTTTGGCGGCCAAAGGCCGGAGCGGAGCGAGTTTTGTAGCAATCTGGAGAGAGCATCCGTTTGGGGGCTCTCTTCGAGATGTCGCCGCGAGTTGACAGGTTGCCCGCTCCCTGAAGATGAGGCATGACCTGGCCAGCGTGTAACCTTAAGCACCGCAGGACGGAGACATAGGCAACTGTTTGTATCATGGGTAAGAGTGACTGCGCGAGGCCAATCAGCCCGACGAAACAGACCTCGTGGTCCCGCCAGATGTGGTAGGCTGGGCTGGCTCCAGCTATGGTCCAGAAGTGGCTCAGACTACACACAGCATGGGAGCAGGGCTCTTCATCGGGAAAGGTGGCGAGCATGTCAAGGCCGCATGCTTAGGAGTGGAGTTTTCCAGCTGAGACATGGTCTGTCTTGTGAATTTGGAGGGACAGCGGTTATGCTGAGGCCATCCGAGAAGCTTGTGGAGGAAACCTCTTCATCGGAGTCATTCCTCCTGCTCAAGGGAATGGACCTCACAAGATTCAGATCATTGGGGATCAGAGAGCTGCTGGGCTGAGTGAAGAAACGTGCTGGAAGTAGTTCTTTAGATGCATTGAACACTCTACTAAGGAAAAGGCTAAAGCCATGGTGCGCCAGCGGCTGAAGGCAGCAGTCAGCGACGGCGTCAAGTAGCAAACTCTTTGGTACCACTGCTAGCTGTTATGACCAGGTGGTTTATAACAGTTATGGCATGGCGAGCAGATCATGGTACTGCAATGTCCGAAGGAGCTGGTGGACACAGAGGACAAGAAGATCCGGCCGGCAGAAATTCCGGCTGCCGGATGCATTAGCCAATTTCTTCTAGCCCACAAGCCAAGAAGCTAAGCCGCAAGCCCTCGGCCCTAACCTCTAACACTCTAGAAAGGGCCGGGCAGCCGGCAGAGAAGCGACAGTGCCTTGCGGTTTCCGAGGTTGCAAGCGCAAGCAGGCTGGGCCTTCTCAAATCGGAGAGCGGGCATGAGCGGGCATGAGCGGACCGAGCACGCGCGAATCCGGTGAGCCCAGGCAAAGCTTTGGTCTAGGCCCAGGCCTGGCCCCGCTCAGGTCAATTTTTCTTAGATCGCGCTGCCCATCGAAGGCCTTGGGCCTCCGCTTCGGCCTGGCGTATCGGCACCGGGTGTTCCCATGCCTCTCCCCCGTACGGTGCCGATGCGGCCCATCACGCCAATGGTGCCCCTGAATCCGGTGAGCCATGTGAGCGCCAGTCCCATGGTGAGCCCTGTCCTGGCAAGCTTCGGTGCACCCAGGGGCCCCGTGGTCCGCCCCAGAGCGCAGACACCCCCGAGCGCCCCGAGCCCTTGCCTCGACAACATCCCTCCGGCGCAGCGCCTCTTGGCCCACGTGCAGCTCGGCCCTCGGCCATCGGCCGGAGTGGCCAAAAATTTTTCTTCGCTTTTCCCTATGTCCCGTGCTGACCTGACAGGAGACCGGCATCGGAGAATCTGATGCCTGATGTTGCGAGCTGGGGCACCTTCGGTGCTGGATTTGCTCTCGGACAGCTCAAGTTGGCAATACAGCTTTGCATAGACTCGTACGATGCTGCTTAGGCCCGGAACCGTTCCAGGGTGTTACAGAACCGGAGGCAGAGGAAGCTGAGGAGGCAGAAGACCAGCAGTGCGCGGGGCGGGTGCTTCGAACCTCTGCGAAAGTGTGACTTGCAGGAGAATCCCTGGCTCGGAATCGCATCTTGGACCACGAATCTTGACAGATCTCTCGTGCAAGTTGCTGCTTGCCACACAGTTTTTAGATTGTAGACATCGTATAACAGTCTAATCCCAGCCCAGAAATGAGCGGCTGCAGAGATGTCTGCAAATCGTGGGATGTAGGCCGTCAGCATGTCGAAAGCTTGCCTATTCGGGCCACGACCGCAAAGGTCCCAGAGTGCGAGCTTCCAACCTGAGCGAGTAAAGCAGATGGTTTAGCTTTCAGGGCCTGTTGATAAATCTTGGTTTGAGAATCAACTAAGCACATGTAGGAGCAGCATTCCGTTGGCTTTCCGGATCCCAGCTGCACTTGTCCAGCACCGAACATCACCGAACAAGAAGGAGTCTCACGAGCGGAGTCGAGCGGATTGCCACTCTCCAGGCGGCATTTGCTTAAAAGTGTCCGGCAGCTGTGTCTTGATTTTGGGTTGGCAGTGTTTGGGTTGGCTGTGGCCATATTAGGCCGTCAACTCTGTCTTTTTTGTCTGGCTGTAGTCGGTTGCTAAAACCCATCTCAGCCCCAGGTGCTAACCGCAGCACACCCCAAAATCCTAAACCCGAAACCCTGAGCCATAAAACCGCAGACCCCGCAAGACAACACCCAAACACCGAAGGCAGAAAATCTTAAACTCCAAACCACGACCCTAGCTCCTAAAGCCTGAGACAAGAGCCCTAACCCTCTGTCCTGACCCCGAACCTAAAGCCATCACCCCATAATCCCAACCGTCAAAACTCAGCCGCTAAACACCCAACCCTAGACTCGAAGCCCCTCACACCGAGGCCCGAAGCCCAAACCCGAACAACAAACTCAAAGATTAAACCCGAAGCCCCAAAACTCAAACCCAACCCTAATTACGAAGAAGGTGTATGCTAGTTCAGGTGACTACTACCGTTGCATGGCTCAAGCAAAAAGTGCAGCGTGAGTTGTGCGTTCTTGCACTATGCATAGGTTATCAGCCGTAGCCTACTCGAGCCATACCCAGGTTGCTCCACAAATCCTGCAGGTCGAGCCGGAATTTCGGAACGCCCCGTACCGGTGAGTACTGGTATTTCCGATATCACGATGCCAACTGAGGACGGTAACGAAGAAGTGAATCCAGAAGCTACCTGTGTGCCCTTAGGTTAACATTCTCGCTCGTACAATGTCTCTTTCAATCAACAAATGATCGATGCCAGTCGAGTGATCGCTGATCAGAATGCATCTCCTATGGTGGCGCTCGCTGCAGAGGCACGACACAGTGAAATCATCGGCCAGTTGAGCAGGGAGCATCAGGAGCAGCTCAGGTAGTTGCACAATGAGGGACATTCAGAAGTTTCAAGGTTGAGAAGTGAACTTGATCGAGCAAACGTGACACTCAGTATGCAAAGGGCTGAGATGGGTCAGGGCGCAGCAAAGTTCACTGACACTGAGTATGCGAATCAGAATGCCTTGATTGAAGCTGGCATTCATGTATGGCATTCTTGTGAAGTTTGGCGGCCTCAACACGTTCTTCCACTGAAAGAGTAGCCGAGAGTTGAGCATAAGTGGCTGCCACCTGTGTCTGCATGAAGTCAAGCTTGGCCCTGTCCTCTTGCGTATACGGCATCCAGAGACTGCTACTGCTCCGAGTGCCAATGAGCGAAGAGGCCACATCCACCAACAGCTGAGACAGTGCATCCCAGGAGACTGCAGGCGGCGGCAAATCCTATGAACAGTAAATACTAGCTTCCACCCCTGGTACAGTAGTGGAGGACCCACGAGTGGTTTTGGCCGCTAAACGCGGCCGGCGAGGCCCGGCAGGCGTGGCTGTGAAAACTGGGAGAAGTTTGGTCAACCCGTCGGCGCCCCCAGCATCAAGTGCGTCTGCTCTCTCGTTGCCTGGATGAGAGGAGCGGCCTCTGATCCAACGCCGCTGCACCGCAACAGAATTACCCAAGGCTTTGAGCAAATCTTTGGTGCGACCAACCAAAGTGACATGTTTCAGTGCTCTCCATTGTCCAGTAGAAACATGCATGCCGTATTCACTGTCGTAATCACCGCGACACTTACAATATGACTGTGTCTTTGTAACCACTCTAAAACAAGCCAAATGGAATAGAGCTCAGCCAAATTCAGTGAAGCCGCGTTTCGTTTCGGTTCGCTTCGGTGTCTAGGATGGGTTTCGACTCAGTTTCGGTTCGCGCGGTTCAGTGCGGTTCTTCTTGCGGTTCGGTTCGCTTCGATTCAAAAAACCCATCCCTCCACCCCTCCGTCCAGCTTCCATCCATCCACCACCCCCTCCGTCCAGCCATCCAGCCCCCAGCCCACACCCCGCCATCCAACCCTCTGTACGCCCTCCGCCACCAGCCCTCCCCCCTCCATCCAGCCTCCATCTACCAGCCCAACCGACCCCATCCAACCCTCCATCCACCCACCATCCAACCTTTAGTTGTTTCTACCCCCACATCACCATCCCCCATCCCTCCATCCACCCTCCATCACCAACCGCCCTCCATCCACCGTTTACCGCCCCTCCCACCACAACTTCCGTCCCCCTCCTCCACCCCCATCCAGCACCCTCCTCCACCCTTCATCCGACCTCCTCCATCCCAGCACCCCCCATCCAAGCGCCTTCCATCCAGGCAAGCCCCCTCCATCCACCAACCTTCCCAACGCTTCCTTTATTCAGGCAGTGTCCATCCAAACGCTCCCTTCCATCCGCCCTCCATCCAGACAGACCTGCAGCCAACCCTCCGTCTCTCTATGCAAGCATCCTCCATCCAGGTACTGTTTTCCGTCCTCGCCTTTTTCACCTCCATCCACAGCCTGCAGTGGCCTTCCAAGCTGGATGGAGGATGCTTGGTTCTGCAAGTCCTTCAAAAACTGGATGTGCGTGGCTGGAGGGAGATGGAGGGGTTTTGTTGGATGGGGGGCAAGCGCTTGGATGGAGGGGGGGGGATGGATGCGGTTTGCCTGCATATGAAAAAGGCAGATGGAAGGTGTTTGGATGGAGGGGGCTGGATGGAGGGATGGATGGAGTGGTTGTTCGATGTCGGGTGTCAGTTCAGCGGTTCGCGGTTTTTTGCGGTTCACAGGGCTGGACTCCAGGGCTGGACGGTTCCTGGCGGTTCGGTTTCGGTTTGCGGCCTTCCTGCAAATTGTTGGACAGTTGCTGCGAAGAATCTGCTTCCTAAACTTTGCTGCTAGAGGCATCGCAGGAGCGTGCATTAAGCCACATGTGAACGCCAACGGCCGCACCAGGCTGAATGATCCCATGCGAAAGCGGAGGTGTAGGAACATCGAAGGCCTTAAGAACTTCCTCTACTTTGTTGCCGAACTGCTCACGAACCGCCTGAGCTTGTTGTGACGAGCCGCGAAAAGTCTCCATGCGTAGCTTTTGGTCTACAGATCTGGGTCGAAGTCGATCCTTCCAGATTTTTGCTCTTGTCTTGCGGGCTCTATACTTGGTAAGGTCGCCCAGTCGAACGCTCATGATCTTTTCATGCGATGATCTGCAGTGCCCGGCACGCTGGGGATTCTGGGCTGAACCTGATGCGCCCTGGACTGATCAATCAAAAGCCAATCAATCTCGTACCACACTTCGGTTGCTGTGTGTAGCCAGGTACCTCGAGAAGACACCGGCGACCGCACTGTGTAGTGACCAACCATTCAAGAAAAAGATTGCCCCCGACCGTAGTGGCCGGTTGCGCAAGCCCCTGAGAACCACAGTGAGGTGAGGGCCCGTCTCCCTTGGCCACGTGGCCATTCTTGGCCATTCCAATCCCCTCCCCATAATTGTGTGCATTGCCTCTCAGAAAGCTGGTGGTGTTGAAATTCATATTGCGTATGATGCGCTCTTTTGTCTCCCACACGGTTGCTATGTGGGGTGTAAACAGCTGTAACAGAAAGTTGGTGCTCGCGGTGTGGAAAGATGACCGTCAAAATGCAATCCGAATCCTCAGCACGTCTGAACAGCAACTGCCTGCCCGCCTGTTCCCGGGCCAGCGCCAGACCGTTGATGAGGACTACAGACTACAGCCACTCGACCGCGAACCACAAAGCAGTACTCCTCGACACAATAGACCAAGGTTTCCGATCTAGAACTGCGCATCTCTTGGAGACAGCATAAATGTATCTTGAATCCGCGCAATCCTAAGATGAGATCTCTCAACTTGTCTCGATGTGCAATCAGATCAAGCCTCAATGACTGCACATTCATGGTGGCAAAACTAATTTGATTCTCAGGGATTGTGTAAGCTGGCCTTTGCTGCCGCCTACGCCACGTCCTTCGGCCGCAGAAAAACTCAGAGGAGAGATTTTCCCATGAAGGGAGGATGCATCAGTCACAGTCATCGCACCGCGGAAAGGCTTGCCAGTTTGGGTGATCGCCAATTGAATGGCCTCATTGCGAACACCCGATTTGCTCGCCGCATGCCGACACGCTGTTGCGACCTACTGAGCCATCCTACCCGCCGCCCCGGAAGGGACGTGCCTGATGTTGCAATGGGCCAGCAGCAACCTCGCGAGCCCGAAGGACCACCCCCCCGCAGCAAACATGGGCATCGCAATGTGTCGTCGATTCGAGGGGGAACCCGATCGACGCATCCCAGCCAAGCTTCATTTGGGCACCCCTCAAGGCCAGCCGGGACCGTAATGTCCCGCGCGGGATGGAGGATCGAGTGATCGAGCCATTCCACGTCAAGATCACCCCGATGACTATTTGCTTTTGGCCCCCGAGCACATCGGTTGCTACCGCGTCGGCTGGAAAGAGACTCAGAACGAAGTCCGGCTCTACTGGGGCCTGCGATCTGTGCAGAGCAGTAGCTGCTGTAGCATGCATTGCTTTCATGTCTTTTCTTCGCTCCACCCTGGCAGGGTGGACTGTTTCTAGTCCACGTTTTGCCTACCGGAAGGGACGGCCCACGTAAAGGGCTGACCTGATGGGCGACACCGCCTTGCGTGTTCATTGCTTTCATGACTTAGAGCTCTGCTACGTTTGAAGCGTAAAACACCAGTCTTTCATTTGCTTTCACTCGCAGCGATGTGTAGTCTCTGGTACTTTTACTTCCGCCTGTCTTCTCCGCCCTAAGAGGCGCGGGGGGTGTTTTGATTGTAGTTGTATGGTAGTATAGCTGACTACTGCCGTTGCATGGCTCAAGCAAAAGGTGCAGTGCGATTGGTGCGTTTTTGCACCATCTATACCCGGACCCAAGCCCTAGGAAACCGCAAACCCAAAAGCCTTAAAGCCCCAAAGCTTAAATCCGCCCCCGCATCCCAGACCCCAAACGTCAAGTCCAGCAAGCCATGAACCCAATTAACGAAACGCCGTTAACACAAAATCAGATGCGGTCAACTCAAAGCAAAAGATGCCTCAGAAAAATCAAAAAAGCAGGGCAATCCGTACTATCTGAAGAGTTTGTGAGTTAGAAGTTTCAGGCCATTCAGGAATTGGATACTTAGTGGCCTTCTATGGCCTTCTTCAGACTGTGGATCTGCTGTGCAGTACTGTCCCACCAAGTGTCGCATGACTGTGATCGTAACATGACTGTGATGCATGTGGCTCCAGCCTGCTGAAAATTGCGGGCGCACCCCAGCCGCCTGGATCAGACTTGGGCCGTAGCCGGAGCTGGCTTTCTAACATTTTCTAACAAATGGTTGCCCGAGTTGCGACTTCACATGGACGGCATTAATCGTGCAATGGTGCAACGTTTGCAGCCAAGGCCAAGGCTGAAGGCCTGCGTGGCCAATTCGCCTTTCGTTTTTGTCGACTCCAGAATCCATACAAGTATAGAAGTTTCTCGATCGCACTGCGCCAAATGGAAAGGCTTGTCACAGGGCATTCAGCCTTGCTGCATGCAAGACGTTGAGTCCTGACAGCACTCAGGCTTCATGCAGCGACTACGGTCGCTGCTGCTGCCGCCGCTGCTGCCATTGTTGCTGCCACTTCCAGCAGACGCGGTAGGTGGACTTGCCTCGTGGACCTTCCTGATCGTTGAAGTTCTGACGTAGTCCAACGTCTGCTTGTGGGTTTGTGCTTGCTTCACTTGCTTCTGTTCCGGGACACTGACGCCCTGGCACTGGCAGAAACGCATGCTGATGCAAGCTCCTTGGTGCGCCGCGAAGACAGCCTCAAGACTGCTGCCTGGCACAGACGTGTGCGGATCTTTTTGAGACGTGTAGTGGAGTGGGTGTCTGTCGTTGCATTTTCCTTGCATCCTTCTGCAAGTATTTGGACAAGGAAGCTGATGACTCGCATGACTCGCACACCGAAGCCTTCTTCGGCAGGACCTCTGCCAGATGGTGACAGTCACTGAATACTGAATCAGACGTTTCTTGCTCAGGCCAGACAGGATGATGGAGATGGAGGCCTCCAATTCTCGACACACTACGGAAGCGGTTCAACTTCACGGTAACAGGTTGGACCACTCGGAAGCATCAACAGCAAGGCAGGCCTCGCTTTAGCAAGCAGGATGGGTAGGTAATGGCGTCTGACCCAGACAAGGAACTGCCAGGCCAGATCCGCCGCCAGGATACCTTACGCATTGCTGCTTGATGGCTGCTGCTCTTTCAGTGTCATCAGTGATGAGTCGCTGCCCGCACCATGAGGACTTCGTGGCAGGAGGTGCAGAGCACGATGACGAGCAAAGTCGCCTGGAGCGTCGACTCAATGCCTTTGCCAGGTGCCTCCTTGGCAGAGGCGCGTGCAAAGCCTCGCGAGGTGATGCCCTCACCTCAGTTCAGTGAGGGTGCCAGGTTCCTGTGCCTAAACGTACCATTCTCCTTGCAGAGGTTCGGCATTTTCTGCAGGCAGGCTGCTGTTGACACCAGCACATGTTGAGTGCAAACTAGCAGCTCATGCAAGGCGTGTGTTCGACGTGGATGTCATCAAAAAGACCTGGACAGGACAGCAGCTGTGCCCAGCAATTCGGACTTCGCTTCATCAAAAATGCCTGAGCCGAGCGAGACCAGAGCGTGCCTCCTGCTATAAAGGAGACATCGTGCTGACCGTAAGCTGGAATGACCCTGAGGTGTCTCAGGCAGGGGTTCCAGCAGTTGCCAGCAGAGCCTCACTAAGTTGCAACTACATCTGTTCAGGTACTGCCTGTTGGCAAGGAGGATACCCGATACTCTACAGATGATGCAAGGACAGACTGCAGACAGAAGACGACGATGGCTCGAAGAGCCAGCAGTCAAGCAGGTCATTTGGTGCCTGTTCTGTCTAAATTTAGATCAGGACTAGGCCTTCAGAACGGCACTAGAGTTTGGCATGTAGTGTGAGTTTAAAGCTTCGGGCACAACTCGCAGCCCCTGCAGGAAACTCATTTGGCTGCCAGATATTGGAGTCCGGAATTCAGCAGCTTTAAGGAGCATGCCAGATGCAAATTGCAGTAGCCGGCGCTAGGTTACAAACCGGGATTTCAAGAATGTCGAAGTCATCTCCTCCAGTGTGAAGATCTGGTCCTCGGGCTGGGCAACAAAAGCAGGGCCAGGGGCCAGGATGGGCCAGGGCCAGGGATTTAAGGAGCAGGCGACGACGCAACAGAGAGTGTGGGGCAGGTCGAACGGATGCTCGTGACGATGACGAACGACTTTGACACCTCAGCCGTCGTCTTAGGACCTTCTTGCGACATGCGGTCTTCACCGAGCACGCCGGTTTGAGGCATATCCTTTCGACCATCAGTCGCTGCAAGTCATCGTAGCATCTGAGAAGCTGATGGCTGATGAGTTGGTCGGAGCCTCGGACCGTGAAGGATGCGACACCTCGCAGATCTCTCGCTTTTTCGCTGGAGCGGAGGTTCTCAAACCTCACACAGACACGACACTGATTGGAGCCTCTCGTCCCATGAGGCAGCTTATGGCTGAACATCGGCATACTGTTTCAAGTCAAGGATGCGAAGGGGTCGTGCACTCCAGCTGAGGTCAAGGATGACGTGCTGACCGGACTCCTTTCTGCAGTCTGGAAGGGCCTTCGAGAGACAGGGAGGGGCTGGCTAGGCTGGCTAGGCTGCAAGATCCAGCAACAAAGCCTCGTTGCATGAGCCTCCGCAAAGCTAGTGACCGCAGCCCTCGGTCGGAGTTGTCATGACGTGAGTGAGGAACTGGCTTCGGTGGCACAGAAGGAGTGTTGCCATGCGCCAGCGAAAAGCAACCGCAAGTATTCCATGTTGAACAGCCTGGTTAACAAGGAAGCATGACTGGCAGGAGCAAAGCCGAAGTATTCCATTTCCAGCTTCAAAGAGACGGATGCCTTACTTGCTCGGGCCTCAGCTTCGGTGATCGTTCCAGGCCATGAAGTGTCCTAAAGTGTGCTATTGTCCGCAGCCGCGCCTTCTTATTGCAAAGGTGAAGAGCCGTGGACTGTTTGAGATTCAGATAGCTCGTGATTCTGCTGCACTATGACGGAATGTATGGCCTCCGGAGTTGAAGACACTCTCCTCAAATTGAGGTGGTTTCGGAGGAGCTGGACGACAGATCTTCGGACCCACGCTCACCTTGCTGGCTGTGTCCTACTCCGTTTTCTACTTTCCCCTCGTTCCTCGTCGACAACAACGACACTTCTACCACATACCCCATGCTTGGCTTCTGTGAGGTTCCAGCCTTTACCATGCCACGTGTTGCTTCGAGCGTCATCTCGCTGCTGGGTGCCTCAGCAGCAGTTCATTCGATTTTCAAGAGTGCTGACGCTGACAGCCATGAAGCATCATTAAGCAGTATTAAGCAGTGTCGAGGCGAGATGACCTTGCTGCCTCTCGGCCGAACAGAAGGATGTCAGTTCGGTTGACCCTTCTGAATCTCTGAGGACCAAGGCGCGGGTGCCGGACTCGTGGACGGACGTCTATATGGAGATGGTCTGCCTGCTGATCGGCTCCGCGGTACCGATTTTTCAGTCAACACGAGCTTGTACATCTTTGGAGCACGTGCTCAGGCTCTGTGAGTGTGCTGAGCCTGTCCATGGAGACTCTTGGCAGAGTAAAAAGAGAGAGACAGAGTGTCGCTGCAAAAGGCAACCCCGTGGCAGCAGACTTTCTGTTTAGCCGAGCCTTCCGGGGACGAATCACCCGGGGGGAATGTCTAAAACCCCGCTGGGACCTGCGGGTGCGCGTCCGCGCGGGGGGGAGTGGGGGTTTCCCTTGCTCCTCCTGTCCCGGTAGAGAGAGAGAGAGAGAGAGCCATTTTGGCTCAAGTCGTCTGCCGGGTCTCTCCTTTGCCGGGGGGCCCGCTCAGCAACGGCCTCTTGGGCTCGGG